CGTTCCAAGTTGTCTACACTTCTGCGGGCAACGTGGCCAAAGTAGCGCATTATGCGTTGCAGACAGGTGGCAGACAGCCGTTGAGCGTTCTCCATTTTAAGCTGATGTAGGACCGAGATGTTCGTGCGGTGGGCTGTCCATGGAATCCTTAATAGGCGGCGCCAGCATCACATTTCAAAAGCATCAACTCTGTTTCGGTCAGCTGCTTTTATGGTCCATGTTTCTGCTCCATAGAGAGCGATTCGAAACCCATCTCTATTCCGCCTTTATTCCACCGCGAGCAATTATACGCATAATAACATAAACGCATACGTATAATAAACAGGATTCAAGGGACTGGACATCTGTTTTACTATATTAGACTTTAAAGTCATATCAATAAGTGCGTTAGCTTTCACATTGTGATTCCCTCTATGTCTCTATTTCCTCTTATTGTCACGTAACAACAATTGGGCCGTGTACTCTTCGGTGTTCATTAAAAACACTTTTTTTTTTATTTCACTCCTAGACTAATACGTAATAAATATTGATTAAAAATTGTTTAAATCTATTGAATCAGCTTAAGAAATACGCAAAAACATTGAGTTATTTTTCATCAAAGTCGACGCTAGTGTCTTTGCAGAGTACAAAGGCGTAAAAGACCAGAGTCTATAATATTACAACCAACATAAGCTATTAATACGAGTAATAGAGGTCAAATTTAAAAACTCAATGCAAATAACAAAAATAATAACTTTCCATCGTTTCGCTCTAAGCGTGTTAACGGAAATATCCCAGTTCTCAATAATTGTTCAAAAAAAAAAGTTAAAAAAGATTTTTTTCAATTTCCTCTCTATAAATTTTAGATAATTTTCTAAACAATGCTCAAAAATTAAAGAGGAACACACTTTCAAGTTTTTATTTGTGTTCTATACATTCACGCATCGTTTGATTTCAAACTTTCAACTTAGTATTTCATAGATATTTTCTGCCATAGTACATCGACGTACGAGAGGCCAAACGTTTCAATAAATCGCTTCAAAAATTAATAAGTAAAATACAAAATACTGAGTAAGCTTTTCTTTCTTCTCCCAATCGAGTGTTATTTCTGTCGCAAACGTCACATACGTAGTGTGTGACAGAGATAATGCTCTACGAAGCCGAAACTAACCGATTGTCTCTTTCTAAAGGTCGATGTGTAATATTTATTGTCGAGCACTGTACATTACTGACATTGTGGTCATAAAATTATGAATAGGACTACTCTAGCCAATCTTTTTATTTACAACAAAAAGCTGTTACATGTAATGTTATGATAATAAATGTGTTAGAGGAAGTCTGAAAGTGGCACCTGCGACAGGGAAGCTGAGAAGTGCGCGTTTGGGATGGTATGGACATGTGATGAGACGAAATGAAAATGAGGTTGGTAAGAGAGTCTTAACTATGAATTTGGAAGGATATAAAGGAAGAGGTAGACCTAAGAAGAAATGGATGGATTGCGTGAAAGACGATATGAGCGAAGAAATTGTATATAATAGAGGAGTATGGAAGGAGAAAACATGTTGCGACGACCCCAGGTGACTGGGAGAAGGGCAGGATAATGATGAAACTGTTACATGTAAAATGTTAGATGTTACATTTAACCACTCCAGTGAGTTATATGTATAACCTTTAAATAAATTATGTGGTATGTTATGACTTTATCAATATTAAAGTGTGATCGCGTACACTTTCACATCGAAATATGTCTGACGCGATAGGTACGGTCGGTAACGAGGTAAACAGCATACGGGCCAAGTACACAGGCGCGAGTTCGTTACACAAAATCGATACTCCACATATTGTGTAATATATTTGGTTGACAAAGGTTTATGTGTTCGATTCGTATTTATTTACCAGTTTGATGTAACAACACTCTTTCTTGCAAACGTAGTCGAAAAACACATTCTAATTTTAAAGTAACATTTTTTTTCATTTTGAATTTTTTTTATTCACATCTTACTCTGAAAAGTACCATCGTACCAAAGTACCAGTAAATTTTATTATAAACATACAAATCTTATAATTTTTTTTGGGGGGATAAATTCTAGACATTCTTATGTGATGGTCTGAAGGACCAAATCAACTTAAATTCCAACATCATACAATTCTCGAAACCGACTTATATTAATGACACATACTTTGATGAGATTCAACAACTATCCACTATCAAAATATATTATTAATACGTGAAGCAAAAACTTTGTATCCCCTTTTACGAAAATTGCGCGTACGGAGGAGTACGAAATTATCCACACTTATAGAGAATATAGAGAAGAAGTATAATAGCTAATATATTTTTTTAAATAATGCCTAAAAGATACATTAAATCATTAAAGAAAACATTACACAAACATGCATACATGCATTATTGTCAAACTTTTGTTCTTGAGGTCTGTGGTCAAATTGAGAATAGATTAAATATTGTTTGTCTTTATGAATATTTTTTTATAGTGTAGTCTTGTCATTTATGAAATAGTCTTTGAAAATAGAATCATAATAGTGTACAAGCTTACAATTTCAATTAAATATAGTCGAATTTCGACTACTGCGGGACCACTAGTCAAAATAGATACTGGTCGTTATAAAACACACATTCTAACTATGTCACATCTAAATATGAATTCGTGAATTTCTTAGAATTAACCACTGAATCCTAGCTATGCTCCGACATAATATTAGCTAAATGTAACATTTGTTGAAACTATTTATGTACTAGTGCAAAATCGTCGCCTAAAATGCCAACAACAATTATACAAAGTTCCAAGAGAATCCAACAACGAACGCATAGATCATAAACACACACACAATTATTGATTTCTACATATAAATATCAGATATAGAAAATATGAAATAATCCAAAATCTCAGGCACAATTTAAATACAAAACACGATCTGTTCTCTTTGTAGAGCTTTCTTTAATACAATAACATAGTTAGTCTCACAATTCGTCTAGACACAACTTAATAAAAACTGTTTTTACTATTCGAGATCCAAGAAAAATAGCTTACTTTCAGTAAGCAGTTATTGAACTTTCAAAGAATTCAAGAAAGCTTTTGATAATAAATTGTTTTCACTCCCACGACTTTCAAAATAATTTCTTTCTGAAAATCAATTTTATTGCAAACATTTTTATTTTATTTCAGTCGCAGAAAGAAAAAATCGTGCAAAGTAAATTAAATAACTCAATTTGCGTTCATTTGAGTCTTTCGATTTGTTACGTTGTAATGAAACCTTAGTCGACTGAATTGAGATACAAAATTTCAGAGAATTTGTTATCTCTTACTTACTTACATCTATTTACTTATACTTATATCTTCAGTAATGTATATAGAGCACTATATAATATATACATATATGAATGACTAGCTGTACCCGTCCGCTTCGCTGGGCATTTAAAATTAACATTATTATTTCTCACCCCCACAAAGATTCTCATCATTAAGGCCCCCGCAACTGGTGTAAGGAGTCCAACACTCATATATTAGCCTATCCATTAAGTACATGTATTTTCTACATGGATACCAAGTTTCAAGTCAATCGGATGCATGGTTCAGTAGTTATAACGGAACACCCGGAAAAACCACTGTAGATTTATATTATATTAGTATAGATTCGCAACCAACCTGCGCAACGTGAATGCCACTACTCACTTATTTGAGGTACGAAGACTTTTTGGTTTGAAAAGATAACTGGTGGACCAAACGTCTTTCTAACTTCGCCACTATGGGTGGATGAACTCAAAGGCCAGGTGGGACAAGTTTGCTAAAGGCTGTATGTATGAGCATTCCCAAAGGAGATCTGACCATTCAGGGGCAGCTGCTTCGCAAATGTATCCAATACCAGATCGAAATCGCGACAGGCTGAGAGGATGCGGCGAGACACTCAGCGGGCTGATACTATACGTTAGATTTCAAGGCTACGGTGATTTCGACGAGTAGGGTACCCTATGTGTTGCCTGATCCTTGCGTTACGAGCTAAAAACGTCTAACAGAAGCGGTTCGAGTGGATCCGCACAAATTTGTCTAGGGCGTCGACGGTGACTGGCTCCTATCCGAACCGTAACTCGTTATGGAGACACGACGATGCAGTTTTAATTATACTTAATGGCGTCCGGACAATCCCTCAAATAGAAACACATGGATATTTTTTTCCTACCTAAGCTTTTTAACTGTTTTGTTTAGCTGTAAGAAATAAGGACGATGGTACCTATTCATCTCAGAGTTTTTTTTTATTACTTTGTTGAGTGAACGAGCTCACAGCCCACCTGATGTTAAGTGGTTACTGGAGCCCATAGACATCTACAACGTAAATGCGCCACGCACCTTGAGATATAAGTTCTAAGGTCTCAAGTATAGTTACAACGGCTGCCCCACCCTTCAAACCGAAACGCATTACTGCTTTACGGCAGAAATAGGCAGGGTGGTGGTACCCACCCGCGCGGACTCACAAGAGGTCCTACCACCAGTAAGATCCTGCCACCAGTAAGGTATTTCACAATATCACCAGCATAAACGTTAAATACATTAGTACTTTTTTCTATATCGTTCCCTCACTGCTGAGGATTGCGACCACATTTGACGTTCCTCGTTACGTCCTACTTTAGTAATTAGGTATCCGTCATTTCATGTATGTAATATATTATAATAATAATTAACTTAACTGTACAGTGTATTCGTGAAAATCGAATATTTAATTTTAAAATTAATTACTCAAGCGGTATCCTTTTTTTTAAATTAGTACAGCAATGGAATACCGCGCCTTTCAAAGAAAACGCTTTTAACAACCTGTAAAATACGCGACAAATTATAACACCAGTATATTCTTGTTGAGACCTTCAGAGAGAGAGAGAGACAGAAAAACGATTGAAAATCTAACTGTAAGCTGTATAATTGATATTAGACTGTAATTTTGTTAAATTTATCAAAATAGTTTTGTCTTCTACACAACAAAAGTTAAGCAATTCAAAACATTAACATTACCTTTGCAATTTTGTGCAGCAAAGCTGTCGTTGAACTCGTCTTAAATAGACCGAGAGCTCTTCGTCGCAATCCTTGACCCAAGCACGCTTCAACGGCGCCACACAACGTTGTCACTCCACCACTATCTTCATGGACAAATTTCCTCGTAACAGCCTGTTTGATGGGAAAACACTTATTATTACTTTAATCTTATACCTTTAAACGAGCAATTCTTGTATATATATATAATCTGAATCTCGGAAACGGCTCCAACGATTTTTATAAAATTTAGTATACAGGGTATTTCGGGGGTGATAAATCGATCTAGCTACGATTTATTTTCAGAAAATGTTGTTTTATTCGTGTTTTCAATAATCAACTTTATCGATAATCAACTTTATGACTCTTCCCGACATCTATTGGCGAATAATAATACTATTTTTCATAATTGAGAGCAACTTGTAACTGTTTTAAAGACACAATAACACTAAAGCTATTTAAGCCATCCAAACCGAAGATCGGGTTCAGTGGCGAGCTTTGGGGGCGGCCTATGTCCAGCACTGCCGCAGGCTGATGATGATGAAGCCAATGAGTGTTTGGTTTAAGGTTAGACCAAGAAAATGAATTGATTAGGTATTTATATTATTTCTGTCTTTTTAACTCACGTGTTCACTTAAAAATGCCTAAATCTTGGAATATTACATCATTTTATCAATATATAATTCGTATTTAAATATAATTTCTAAGAAACACAATTTATAAATAAAAAAGAATACCGGGCAAAGCTCGGTCATCGTCTAGTGTTTACTTATCCAACACCTTTGGTATCAAGTCCTCTCTGAAGTTCAAAGACATCATAACAGATCATGACTCAGCCTTCATTGTACATAGGTACATGACTTTATTAAACTACTTAATAACAGTAATAAATGTTTTTCTTTATTTAACAAATAAAACCTATATATCATCAAAGGTATTTATAATGTAATAAAGTCCATGAGATGAGCTGATGTAATAGCCGAGTAAATGAAACAAAGATCGCACACGTTTTAAATGTCGTCGACGAAAACATCCGGTGCATTCGTATCTAACGATGCAACGATGTTCTAATCCCGAAGGCGGGCGGGTTTTTCTAATGAAATAAGTACTTATCAAATCTCCACGATTAACTTCCACGGTGAAGGAATAACATCATGTAATAAAAAACAAACCCGCAAAATTATAATTTGCGTAATTTCTCTTGTGAGTCCGCACGGGTAGGTAACACCACCCTGCCTATTTCAACCGTGAAGCAGTAATGCGTTTCGATTTGAAGGGTGGAGCAGCCGCTGCTACTATATTGAAACCTTAGAACTCATATCTCAAGGTGGGTGCCGGCATTTACGTTGTAGATGTCTATGGGCTTCGATGACCACTTAACACTAGGTGGGCTGTGAGCTCGTCCACCCATCTACGCATTAAAATAAAAAAAAGACGGCTCTACGCGGACGTCAATGAGAATTGGAAATGGCTTTGCCTGGAAACAGAGCAAAAGAAGTTTTTTTTCTAATCAAAAGCCCCCCGGCATTTCCTCCCGTTTCATTGATGCGGGAAACACAGGAAATAAATACACTTGAACCTGAAAACCAAATTTAATTTGATTTAAAAAAAAAGATGTAAATAAACTGACTACGACTGGCCTTTTGTTTTACTGATATTTGAACAATATCGAATTTCTCAGAGGGTTCTCCTTAAAAATGTTACTCTTTAAACACACACAAAAAAACCAGCGAAAAATTATATGTTCTCGAATAATGGAAGTATTCCATTACATTTCACTGTAATAATGAATGTAGATTGTATTTCATTCATTCTGAAAATTGTATGTGTCGAATCCATAATAACTTGTTTTGTGCAGTAACCTTTCCGAATCGTATTATCTCTCATAAATATTTCAAGAATATGGAAGGAGATCCAAAATACTTTATAACAGACATCAATGTATTTTATGGCCTTTGAAGGTTTATGAACATAGGGACGACCTGATGGTAAGTGGTTATGGGGGATCATGGACGTCAGCAATGCCAAAGACACAGCCAAGCCGCTGCCTACCGTTGAGTAGTCTCCGCAAGCCTCGATAAAAAAAGGACTATCATAGGGCTCTGGAAATACCGTGGAGGGAAGTTCAGAGCTAGATAGTACTTGGCAAGGAAAAATTATTGGAAACGCACTGTCAATGTCAACAGCGGTCCCGGATAATATGGATGAACCTTGCTTCATTGGCCGGAGGAACAATGGTAAAAAGGAGATGAGAGGTCATGTCGAACTTCCTCAGAGCACTCACCATGGAACAAAATACAAAGAGAACCGAAGTTCTTCCGTAGACCCAGAGATTCTAAACGATCCCAGAGAACACCATTACCGATAATCCGAACGGCCTTTTTCTGAATGGTGTCAAATGGCCGATGCCTAGTATTTCTAATTGACATATAAACTAGATAGTTAGAGAAATTATTTACAGCTACCAAACGGAAAAAAATGTTTTTTCTGAATTTATAGATAAAATAAATACATTCCTGATATCTATACTTTCAAATCACAGCTAACTTCGCTCTCCAGACCCCCTAAAACCAATAAGCTTAAGACTCACAAGCTTTATGCCTGGCATACACTAACAGTATTGTGAAGAAACAAGGCACTATAAAATTAAATAAGGCGATCAACTACCGTAAACGTTCAAGAATAATTAACAAAAGTATAATTCTTTAATATTAAGAAACTTAGGTCGCATGGCTACGTAAGCTAAATAAATATCTGATTTAACAAGCGACATCTAAAATGTTGTGACAAACTTTTGAAGAAAAAGACAAATCATACCCACATTCATTTTATTGATACAACTAGCGGCCCGCTCCGGCTCCGCTCGGGTTTTTAACAAAAATTTCAACGATATTTGACGTTGTTTTTTTTTTAAATAAAAGAACACTTATTGCGGCATAATTATAATAGTTAGACATATGCTGTCGCGACACTTTTTGTTAATAATAATGTGTTCTACAAAGTCGTAGTACATTATTTTATTCTAACATCAATAGTTTTTCGCAGGGCATGCGATGTAAAGAATATTTTAGGTATTTTTTTACACATTGGGTTACATTATTTTAATTTATTAAAAAAAAAAAAACATGCCCGCTGAGTTTCTTGCCAATTCTTCTCAGGACGGAGGCTAGTTCTTGTGAATTGGCGGTAGTTCTTTTGACGTTCAACAAGTATGTACTTTCATTTATGTTGAATAAAAAAATTTTTGATTTGATTTGATTTGATTATTGGAGTTTTAGTAAGCATTCCAATATTTTTTTTCAAAAAAGATTATAACCTATGTCAGTCGGGAGTAGTGTAGCTTCCAAGCAGTGAAAGAATTTTTCAAATCGGTTCAGTAGTTTCAGAGCCTATTCAATACAAGTAAACAAACAAATATTTCCTCTTTATAATATTAAGTTAGAATATTAAGTTAAGATAGGTATGTATTATACTTATAAAGAAGATAGATTAGAAAAATAATCCTATAACTATTGCATTATTACAAATAAATTCTGAACGTGAATCCGGAAGCAAAGGGATTTTACAAAATTAAGAGCCTAATTTTAGTTTCAGATTTCGATTTACGAGCGATCCATTTGAAAAAAGTATAAACATAAGCCTTACCTCTTCCATCAGCTGCTTGACTTCCTTCTTCACAGCCGCTATAAGTCGTTCTTTCTGCTCTGTTTCAGGGTCCGTGGGGGCATTAGCTGCCGGCATCTCGNAACGTGAATCCGGAAGCAAAGGGATTTTACAAAATTAAGAGCCTAATTTTAGTTTCAGATTTCGATTTACGAGCGATCCATTTGAAAAAAGTATAAACATAAGCCTTACCTCTTCCATCAGCTGCTTGACTTCCTTCTTCACAGCCGCTATAAGTCGTTCTTTCTGCTCTGTTTCAGGGTCCGTGGGGGCATTAGCTGCCGGCATCTCGTCGGAATCGTTGTCAACTGTAACAAGTTGCCTTGGAATAATGACGTGAATCTTTTTTCTTAATCCAAAATACTCAAAAATCTGTTTCAATTAATCCCAAACACAGAATATCTCATCATCCATCTGTCACTGAATAGTTTATTGACATTTGTATTGACTTTGTTAGTGTTTTGCATAGAGCATTAAATATGTATTTTTGATAATCTCTTTACCTTGAACTACACTCGTGGACAAACTTACAATAAATAGAGGAACGCATAGAAGTGCATTCACTTTATTTCTTTATTATCCGTTAATTACAAAATTAAAAACGTCGAAAAAATAAATGATCAAATAACCTGAAAGTAAGACGAGAGTACAGCAAAGAATTAATTTTACCTATCTTTTTATTTGTACATCTTTAGAAAAGCTATTTATCATGTGGTGGTAGGACGTCTTATGAGTCCGCACGGGTAGGTACCGCCGCCCTGCCTATTTCTGCCGTGAAACAGTAATGCGTTTCGGTTTGAAGGGTGGGGCAGCCGTTGTAACTATACTGAGACCTTAGAACTTATATCTCAAGGTGGGTGGCGCATTTACGTTGTAGATGTCTATGGGCTCCAGTAACCACTTAACATCAGGTGGACTATGAGCTCGTCCACCCAATTAAGCTATAAAAAATAAATAAATAAACTTGAATTAGCGTGCGGAAGATTTGCTACCTTATTATATACTGAATTTCATAAATACTTTATTGGACATGACCCGGGCGTGTCTGTTGACCTCCCTATAAATTTGATTTCAACGTCTCGAAGGTATACGACTACTACGATAATAGAACAGGAGCCTATGAAATGGAAAAACAGCATTACGTTTTCTTTCAGATTCTCAGTTACATATCGTGCCACTGTTAGTGACCAACTCTCATAGATGTGGAGCTGTGTAGGTAGGTACGTGCTCCCATACAAAAACCTTCCCTATATCATAGCCCTCATATCACACCCATACCAAACTTTGTCCTTCCAACATCTACCTTCAGGCAATATTTGAATATTTGAATCAATAGAACTTGACTCCATGTTTGGTAGTTGCGAATAAAATTAACTCCAGCTATTCAATTGCACGTGACAAGAAGAAGATGCAACCTAATCTTCTTTAGTCGTTTATATATTTTTAAATATTAAGTGTATTATCTATGATACGTTTTAGAAGATGGCTTTGACAGATATCTGGCTGTCGGCGCCGAGCGTCAGCGTGCGGTCAGCGCGACTCTAAGACCAGCCATAAACTGACGAGGTGTGAGCCAACAGTGATGCTATTCACGGGCGACTAGAACTGTAGCTATGTAAATCAATTTTGACAGACAAATCGATGTAAGCCAATTAATTCAAAAAATTCGTAAGAATCGAGGTGTATTCTGAAATTATTATATTCTTTAAATGTGAACCGATCGTTAATTTATTTCCGGCTGTTTGTTGATAACGACTTTTTCGTGAAACTTTTTCATTAAGTCTCCTGTGAAAGCAATTTTCCTTGCCACCAACTCACTGAAACCTTCAAAGTATTTGTTCTCAGTAATGAGTGGAATAATAATTAATTAAATTTTAAGAGCGAAATTAAATTATTTTCGAAGGAAAACCATTAGCTGCGTTACCAGACATCTGGTATTAACAGAGTTAATTTATCTGATCGTTGATGGTTATATAGTAGTATATAATTTACTGAGCTAATCGAAGCTCTGAGTAGTGACATTCCAGCTTCAAGTTTCCGTTATATATGTTCAGAAACCACTAATACCAAATTCTCTAGGTTCACATGGACCTCAAACTAGAATCCCTCTAAAAACATAAGTAAAAAAAGGTGCGCGGTGTCGTGGGACACCGGATAGGAACGAAGTTCCTTATTATAAAAATATTAATTTTAAGTTCTATTCGAGGCATAAAGAAAATAATTTTCGGGTATACATTTTTTATTATGTTTTTTTTATTGATAAAAAAAACTACTTTACAAAGTTATCAACTTTATTTTATTCACAATGGTTTATGAAAAATATATAATAATAATATACAAAGAAACAGCTATTTATATGAATAATAATAGTAACCGTCATCACGTAGACTATACATTAGACACTGTATAGCCATCATACTAAGACTATACATAAATAATAAAAATTACGTTACGGACGTTTTTCCCGGTTAGGGTACCCCTCCCTCCGCATCGTCCCATAAGGAACTTCGTTCCAAAAAAAATCGTATCAAAATTAACTCTCATACGAAGCTATTTCAAATGTACACATTGTTATAAAAACCTTCAGTCACTTTAACCTAAGCGTAGCAAAAAAAGAAAGATTAATCGCCTCCGAACGAGCACCAAGCGGTCGGGTGAGCATTTTCACGAGAAATTGCCGTGAATGGCTCACAACAGTTACACCGCAGTACTTAAGCCTATCAATCATGTAATGGGCCTTATATTTCAGAATCTACGTCAAAACCACATAATATTGGTGAGACGCAATTTCTGTTACATTAAAGTTTTGTTTTTTATTTCTTAGATGGGGGTGGATGAGCTTACTTATTGGTGTTAAATGGTTACCGAAACCCATAGGCATCTACAACGTAAATGCCGCCACCCACCTTGAAACGTGAGTTAAGGTCTCAGTTTTTAGAGTACAACGGCTGCCCCCCCCCCCCCCTTCAAAGTGAAACGCATTACTGCTTCAAGGCAGAAATAGGCACAGTGGTGGTACCTACCCGTGCGGACTCACAAGACGTCCTACCAAGTTGCGTGTACTTCATATTATGAATCATTGGTAGCTTTTTATTTTACGGAGGTAAATACTTGTACCATGCTTCTAGAAGTGGAGAACGTGGCTATAGTCAGTATCTAATGTGGCTCTGCTGTGAATTAGCAGGCCCATTTCAGAATAGGCAGTATTTTTTCACTGTGCCACTTCGAGTAGACCACGTTTGCTGCTGTTTATGCGTTTTGATAGACATATGGACTCACATTTAGTATTGGGTCATTGATTACGAAAGTACAAAAGGATTTTTTGGAATTTCTAAGCGTAAGAGATTTTGGTTCTGTAACGTGTGGTCCATTAGAAGGGCAATAAGAAGTTGTTTGAAATGATGACCTTTTTACCACGAAGCTAACGAAGCAGAATTCAACCCTACCACATGGAACCTCTTAATTCGTCCAGAGTGCGTTTTCAGAGATTATTTATGCCTTATAATGTCGGACTCTGGAATTCGTTCCGGAAGTTCAATCATAAAAAATAACCAAAAAGATTTCTGAGTGTCCTAAGCATTTACGAAATTTATTCATTAGGATCATTGACCACAAAGCAAAAGTGTTAGTGTATATGGAAATTTGTATTTTTTATTGCTTAAATAGTTGAACGAGCTCATGGCCCAATGTCGTTAGGTGGTTTTCGGAGTCTTAAGGCATATAAGAGCGCTGGTCTTCCCCATTTTTCTTTATGCTGCTGAGACCTGGACTTTGAGAGAAAGTGAGAAAAAGAGGATAGATGCTCTCGAAATGTGGTGCTGGAGAAGAATGCTGCAAATATCGTGGACAGAGTTCAGAACGAATCAGTCAATTCTACAGGAACTCGGCATCAAGCAGCGACTATCCTCCATCGTTCAGGGTCGCATTCTCACTTTCTTCGGGCATGTGTCGCGGCGAGGTGACGACTCAGNACAGCCCACATGGTGTTATGTGGTTACTGGAGCCCATAGACATCTACGACGTAAATGCGCCATCCACCTTGAGATATCAGTTCTAAGGTCTCAGTGTAGTTACAACGGCTGCCCCACTCTTCAAACCGAAACGCATTACTGCTTCACGGCTGAAATAGGCGGGGTGGTGGTACCCACCCGCGCGGACTCACAAGAGGTCCTACCACCAGTAAAAAGTATGTCTCCAATGTTTAGTAATTACGCAAGTAAAAAATTTCGAGGGTTTGTTTTTATTGTAATATGTTATTCATCGCCGGCAATTAAAATTTATGCAATTATATTTGTGTTTTAACTGACGAAAACATTTGAATAAATACCAAAAATACTTAAAGCTTATTTCATTATTAAAAATAAGTACGGTACCTACGAATTAGAAACCTCCTTGTAATCGGCTAGAAATAACTTTCATATCTACTCAAATGATTTATTAAACTCGATTTAGTGTACAAACAATGGTTTTGTATTTTATGTTCGAATCAAACTTTCCGTCATAAAAACAATAGACTATTTGGTTTTTTTTTCGCTAAATAGGAAACAATTTCGTTCACAGACCCTATTTTTTTTGTTTTATCTGTACTCTAGTATCGAAAATCTACAGATATTAGTAATTGTATTTACGAAAGGAACGCAAATAACACTGAAAATGGGATACGTTCTAGAAAAACACTGACCTGAAACAATACTTTGTGTGCGCCCAAGTATAGCGACTCCGTAAATCAATAATATCTCGCCCGGATCGTAGGATTGCTAATATCAAAATACAGATACTCAGATACATTTTTATTCAACTAAAATATCGTACGTAATTTATAATTCCGGATTTGAAGTGGGTAGCAATGTTTACAGACATTAAATAATATTTATTATAAAAGATAAATATAAATTAACACGATGCACGGCCACAGGCTGAGTTTTTCTTTTATATTACGGGTACCGTAAATCCCACAAGAAACGAGACAAGACTGAGTCAACCAAAACCCTAAATGCAAAATATATTTAACAAATATACTAACTGCTGTCAGAAATTGAGTCCGAAATCCATTTCTTTGTTTTTACCTAAAGGACGAAATGTTTTCATACGACGATACACGCCTGCGAAATGAGCATGAGAAATTAAAATCGCCATTCCTGATACGAACACCCAATTAATAAGCATGACGTCTACTTCCAAAATGTGTCCGATTGATGAGACGTTTATTTCTCCTGTCCATGAATTTCTAGTTAAAAAATAAACCTACCATCTCAAGACGGTTACAATTCACATTTAAAAAAAAACAAAAATCAGTTCGAATTTAATT